AATAATTCCTACATTTTTAAGAATATTCTGGAACAAAACACCTCGAAGTGTATTGATTATATAAAAAGTAAAATAACAAAAATACCAAGGAAAATTCAAAACGGCAAGTTCTTTATCAAATGGCAAAATAAAAAGTTCAAACACATCAAACGAATGGAAAACAACTGTCATATTTCTGACTTAAATTAATTTTAGGTGTTCGTTGTTATTCTGTGGTTTACACATTAAAATGTACTATTATATTTTTTATTTATGTATTTCTCTGTCCTGAATGTTCTTGCATTTATTTTTACTGTATTCCTGTCACTTAATGTTGTCATTTTAGCGGTATTTTTAACATTGCCATATACACGGGTGGTTTGGCTAGCCATAAAACCAGGTTCAATCCACCATTTTTTCTTAAAATGTCCTGTACCAAGTCAGGAATATGGCAGTTGTTATCACATAGTCCGTTTCAATGTATGTTGGCGTTTGTTTTTGTAGCAGTTCAGTGTTTCGCCGTTCCGTTATGTTTCCACTTATAGTTGATCTGTTTCCATCAGTATTGGTTTGTGACCCGGATTTGTTTCAGTTAAATCGACTTATGACTATTGAACAGCGGTATACTACTATTACCTTTATTGATACAGGCATTTCCTTATGTAGAAAATGGTGGATTAAACCTGGTTTTATAGCTAGCTAAACCTCTCACTCTTATGACAGTCATATAGTAATCATTCAGTCATTATGATTGTGTAGTCTTAAACATGAAGGTGTCTTCTACACATTAATGTCTATAGAAAAAAAGTATAACAAAAAATACCGTACTCCAATGCAAATGGGGAAGTCCACAAAGACTGGCAAAATCAAACGCTATCAATTAACGGAACAAGTGAAAACAACTGCCATATTCCTGACTTGGTACAGGCATTTTCTGAAGAAAATGGTTGGTTTCACCTGGTTTTTCCCGAATGAGACCTACTGAATTAGACTTATCACCGGGTTTGTACTAACATGGGCAACAAGACGGGTGCCACATGTGGAGCAAGATCTGCTTAACCTTCCGGAGTACCTGAGATCACCTTCAGTTTTTTGTGGAGTTTGTGTTGCTCTGTCTTTGGCTTTTCTATGTTGTGTTGTTGTTTGTCCGCTTGTATATTTCATTTTTAGCTATGGTGTTGTCTGTTTATTCTGACTTATGAGTTTGAATGTCCCTTTGGTATCGTTCGCCTCTCTTCTCATAGCTAGCTAAACTTCCCACTTGTATGACAGTTGTACAGAGAATCACATTATTAGTTGTCAGTGCTATTACATCTAATATACAGGACTGTAAATAGCTAACAAACTATATTTTGCTTGTTTCATGGAAAAATATCATGCAACTATTCGGTAAATAATAGTTTGAACCAAGTCAAACATTTTCCTTTTGTTTACCTGAATTGAAATCGTGTGCAGGTTTGTCCAGGGTACAATAGCATGTAGTCCGGTACTGTTCATTACCTCTCTGTATCAAATATTCGTTGACGAACTTTGTTCTCAGCTAGTTGGTTTATTTCAAATCAGGGTTTATATTTTCATAACACATTAACATGTTGTCGTCCTGAATTGACATATAATTTGCTCATAGACTTTAAATAATCATCATCATCTTCGAAGTACAACCACCATTAGAGTGTAAGAAGACATGAGTTTATATTTCACAGGTTGCGTACTTTGATAAAAGAAGACGAGATGTAGTATGATTGCAAATAGTGCAGTACCTGCGAGAATTAGTTTTATCTCTATATTATTTTGAACTGTAAGACTTGCAATTTTTACCGCGTGTTTATCCTGATATAATTGAGACAGGTGAACTATCTTTTTTTCTTTTAATCTAAACATTAATGGTTTTACTGATGATGACAAGAAAGTGGACTCATGGGAACGCAAACACTATTTTAATCCCGTAAAATGTTAAAAGTGTCCGTCTTTTTTATATCTTATAGCGGTTGGTCTTTGGTGAATTTGTGTTTACTTATCTCTGTTAAAGTTAACTGCAGCTTGTCTTTTCCTCCAGCTTGACATACAATATGGACATATATATATATATATATCATTAAAGACTGTTTGTTAACCTGTTTTATTTTTTTTTCTTGTTACTTGCAATTTTTACCACGTGTTTATACCGATATAATTGAGTCAGATGAACTATCTTTTTTTTTAATCTAAACATTTATTGTTTGACTGATGATGACAAGAAAGTGGACTCATGGGAACTCTGACACTATTTTGTTAAAAGTGTCAGTTTGTATTGACTTCCCCTTTTTGAATTGTCTTGGAGTACGGTATTTTTGTTATACTTTTTTCTATAGATATTAATGATTAGTAGACACCCTCGTGTTTAAGACGACAACATCATAATGACTGACCTGCATTTGTTTAGTACTTTAGTAAAAAAGGAGGAGATGTGGTATGATTGCAAATGAGACTTTCCACCAAAGTTCAAAATGACTCGGATGAAAGCCAGTATAGGTCGTTTAATTACCTTCAGCAATGAGAGAAATCCATACCGTATAGTTAGCAATAGAAGGCCCTGACATTACAAATGTGAAACGAAAAAAGAAAATTGCTATTGAGATTGCTTTCAGAACTGCAAACATTCTTTTATACAGTATTGTTTGTTATTGTTTAGTTTATATTTGTATTTATGTTATCTATTCAACGTGGACTGTCTATACTGAGGTTTTTATTGATATGTCTTATATGTACCTGTTGTGTTTCTACTGTTTAAGATTAAAAAACGGAAGGCCGAGATCTCATAAAACTAGTATAACTGCAGGTGAATGTTTCGTCCGCGATGGTATCACCAGCCCAAAAGTCAGCATTTTCGTGTTGACATAAAATGTTATTGATATGGTTATTGTCTGTAAATTCACTGTTTAAAAAATGTTGAAACACTAAGGTTTTTACCCTCAGACATAGATTGCCTCAACCGAATTTAGCACAATTCCGAATTTTTTGGGTTTTTAATGCCCTCTTCAACTTCGTACTTGATTTTTCCTTCCAACTGTTTTGATTCGAGCGCCACTGATGAGTCTTATGTAGTCGAAACGCGCGTCTGACGTACTAAATTATATGCCTGGTATCTTTGATGACTTTTTAACTCAAATTAATATTCATGTTCCTCTCCTGAATCAGGAGATTCGTCAACGGTTATCTTTTTTTTAGGTCTTCGATGGAGATTAAAAGGGAATGGAGGTAAAGCAATAATTGTTTTATCCCGAGACATGTGCAAGGGCCTGTTTTAAGTTAGGACTCTTTCAGTGGTAGACTTTAATCATATCTTTTTATTTTAGTCTTAATAGTAGATCTTTGATAGTCTGTTAAATTATTCACATTTTTTTTAGTAGAAGACGTTTACCCTGTTTATTCTGTCGACGAACCCTGTCTTACTCTTTTTGGAGTCCATTCGATTCTCTTAGTTTTTTATACTCGATTTTCATATTCTAAAATGAATTAAAATGAATTTACGAGATTTGAACATCGGTAAACATCTTATTCAGAGTCTGAGCAATTTAGAACTTGACAACTGTCAATTTATGACCATATATTGACTTCCATTTCAATTATGAAAAGAAATTATCCTATTTTTAAAACCTCACCTGATAATATCGGACCAGATGATGATGCATGTGCAAGTCTATCTTGCTGAAACACCTATAAAATATCTGTTACGACTTTCTTGTACGTAGGTGATGCCCTATTTGATGAACTCCTCGGAATCCCTGGTTTGATGCTATAAAATCACTTTTCCTCAACTTCATGCCTTACCTGATTTTACTTTCGGAGCTTCATTTCCATGGAGAATTTAGCTTGTTTTTCCTCTAGCACTATAGGTTGCACTTTGTGAATACAGCTGTTTCACAAACCACACTTCTTTTAGAGAAATATATAATATTCATAGCTATTTTGTTTTGTTTACGTATTGGTTCCCAGATATGACTTATATGTTTCATCGCATAGAGACATAACTTGAGAATGTTACCAGTATAAATACACATGGATAGCGGCCAAATTAAATTCTGAGGAAGACCTAAAGTGAAGGCAGGAGTAGATCAGAATTTTAGTATAAATTTAAACTCTTAGAAATTCAGGGCACATAAATGTTGAAAATACTCCGAACAGCCCTATGTTTTGACCTTTGAAAAAAATAATAGTGCATATGAACTTTCCATTCTGGGATATAATTTTTTACGAAACTTCATAGTAAAAATGGCAAAGTTTTAGACGTAAAAGGAGTTCCTATGGGAAATTGCATTGTCTATTTTTACAGAAGTGCAACCTATAGGCTCTCTATATAGGAGTTTTAGACATACGCTCCGGTTGTCTAGGAGGTTGTAAGGAACTGTCTCCAGAATATGATTCCCGCTTTCTCTGTGGTGTGTCGGATCGTCTAGAATTTTAAGTCCCGTGAATTATATATAATGTCTCATTACATTGGGGAATTATACAGAAACTACACAATTCCCGTCTTCCTGGTGACAACTGTTCCTCCTGATGAATTACACACGACCGGGATGATATGGTCTCTTATCATACATATTGGTGCATACCCTTGGGGCAGATACATGACGCCTTTGATTATCTGGAAGAGGTGTAACAGTTGACCATCGTAAGGTTCGCTGTTGAGGAAATAGCATGGATTCCTTAGCTCGTGGTGATATCCCCGCTTCTCTTTCCCCTAATGAACTGCATTTGACGTGCTCTTTGCAATATTTCATCAGGATTTCTATAATAACTTTCACAGTTGTGTGTTTTACTGTGTATAAAGGTTTTCTAAACTATCGATTAAAACGCTTAGGTAGATTTCAGTTCGTTTAGAAACAGTTATCAGTAAGCAGTAACCGTATAACATATATTTCAGTAAGAATAGTCATTTCAACTGAAGACATTCAAAAGGCAGTGCGACTTTAACTTAGTAACGATTGGATTATTATCATTATCATTATGTATTATTCTTTTTCATAAAACAACAATACACAACTAATATTAAATATATTTGTAATGAAAGAAAAGATATTTTTACAATGACAATCTCGTTTAGTTAAATCGTTTTATTTACATACCCTCTTTTGTTTTATTCGTCAATGACATTGGTACTAGATTAATTGGAGTAAATATCTTCTTCAGCTGTTTTGTTGTGATTCTAGCTATGTGAAGGCGAATCCTTCCATGTTATAACGGCTAACACAATTATGATGAGGACTTACATGAAATAGTAAAAATGTCTTTAATAGTTGCTTCAAAGGCTGATTGCTAATGGAGCAATTTTTGGCATCTGCTGGGACTATAATATTTATACATAAGAAATAGAAAAATCCTAGGATTTAAAGATACAAAGATCGAAGAACAATTGACTGTTCCTTAAAAACGAAAGTGTGGTTATTGCTTCCAAACCAAAACAAAAGGTAGAGTACTTATTTTAAATCAAATCAATTGACGATCATTCCGATCTCGTAATATATAGCTTCTTCTGTCAACCCAAAGAAACTTCGAGGCTTTTTTATAAAGCTTTTATCAAAGTTTACATGGTGTATTAATGATCAGTAAGATGAGCACAGATGTACTTTGACCACGATACCTCCATTGATAAGAAACTGAATTTTGAGTAAAAGCAGGTTCTTTTGGCAGTTCGTATTGCTTATTATTTTATATTTGACAATTCTTTTCAAATGAACTTTCACCAGAATATATATGCATAAAACAGAAAGCATATCAATCTATTTACAATGTGTAATTTACCGACACATGTCACGTGATAGAATCATCCGGGTTTTGTGTTGGAAGTCTTACATAATAGTGACCATTATCGTATTTGGCTATTTGTGATTGGCTGTTTTCAGGAAGATCAATCATCACAGCATTCGTATAACTAGAGGAACGTTTTAATGATCGTCTGTTCCAACGAGGATTGTCAATATTCGTTAATTGTACTTTTACCGATTCATCCGAACCATGTCTAATATGTCTTTGTTTAAAAGCTTCATTAGATGAACAAGGATAATGTTCCTCTTTCACTTTGTTTTCGATATCATTATGAATCTGTACATGTCTGTTTAATGATAATGCAGGTGCACCATTTAGTTTATGATTCTCTCGACATGCACCTTTAACTGCAGACACAGCTCTGTAATAGAAGCATAAGTAAGTCATTATCACTAGTTATCATACAATCATTGGACTTAATTTTTCTACATCTCGTTCCCTCAAGTTTTTTTTCTTTTTCTTTTTTTATCTTGGTTGGAATATTCCAAGTGGAATAACAAGTTTAGAACAAAAGTAATTTACTGTTGCCTCTTATTTGACTATAACCAGCCTTATATAACTAGTTTTTGTTATTTTATTGCTTTCATGGTTTCATGCATCTTATCCCCGGAACGTTTTTTTTAGTTTAATACAAATAAATTTTAAATTTGTAATTATAATTGACTCTTATACTGCTCTTTCAAAAACTCTTGATTGAGTTGTTTGTAAATGCGAGATATTTAAGAGAAGAGCACTTTTTTATGTAAGTATTGTTAAATATGTATTCAAATGTTGATGACACTTCTTATCGACACTGTTTTAGGGAACAACCATTGGATATTCTGGGAGCCCGGGGGATTTTCTGCGGATTGACTATTCATTTCTTTCCATCTCTTGTTAATGATGCTTATTTTTTTCGCGGCTTTTTTATTCTAACTTTTGTACACCATTGTTTCTTGCATTTTCTATTGCAGAATATTCATTTTCATCCTGTGTTATGCCAAGTTATTTGTTTTCAGCTCTAACAAGACCAGGTTATTCATTTTCAAAATCTACCCCACCCCCCGAAAATCAAATGATTATCCCCTAAGATCGACTTTCGGATCACAAGTAACGCTTCTTTATATTATCATTATTTTTAGTTTCTAAAAGTCTTACCGAAGTTGGTCTTGTAGCTTCTGAACTTTTAACAATGATAAATCTAACTCGTGCTTTGTTTTCCATATCTGAAGTTCACACACAGCATTTTTACATTTGTGTTTTCGGTGTATATCTAATGCTTCCCTGACTGACTGTTCAAAGTTCAATGATTTTCCCATACTCTAAAATTGCAATTATGATAAGTATTAACTTGTTTTACGTACAAAATTTGTAATAATAGAAATAACTTGTAGCGTTCACAAAATTAAACTTTATTGAATATTTCAACTTATGAAAATTAGCAACTGTAAAGCATATGATATATTAAGTATAAAAACAGGGAGCAGTTTTAAAAGTATCTTGAGCAAATACTAGAAAATAGGAGAAGGATAAAAAGTCATATAATAAAACAATTATTGACATTTGATTTCAGTTGATACAATGATTTATCAACCCCAGAGAAATGACATTCACCCTCGGCCGTTGGCCTCGGTGAATATCATATCTCTGATTGTGATAAATCATTTTCTCTAATTCTTCGTCAATTTATCCCTTTCTGCACCCATTGTATAAAAAAAAATTTAATCAACGTGTGGTTCGTTTGATCTCAGTTCTTCATTGGTTAAAATCCGATTATGACGTCGAATTCTCTTGCTTTCCTCTGAATTTCCTATTGTGACGGCATGAAAAAAGGCGACCATGCCTGATGACGTCACATAGAAAGAACTCATCTTTTTGCAGATTATTCGAAAAGAAGGAATAAATTTGCCTGCGTATTGTTTGAAAATAATTAGAGAAACAGATTCCACCACCAAATCTCGTGTAATACGATATTTATCCACTCTCGGCAGTTAAATTTTAAATATTTAAAACGCTCGGCGAGCCTCGCGTTTTAAATTTGAAAATTTAACTGTCTCGAGTGGATAAATATCGTATCACACTCGATGCATTGGTAGAATCTATATGTATCAACCTCATCGAAAGTCAATAATTGTATAATGACGTACGTATCATCTTAATGTCTATTGGTTACGTTGCGTTGTTATGTTGCTGTCTCACTGACGTTTACATCGCCTTATGTCTTTCTTATTCACGGTTCATTCTTATAGGAAATTATCAGAAAAAAACATCAAAAACCAGTTAAGACGGTAGTGTTAACAAAATTTCAAAGACTATTTTTAAAACATTTGGCTCAATAGCCGCAAATTACGTGATTTGATGTAATGTAAGTTTACTGTATATTCCTTTATAAAATTAGATTACCCTATTTATCTCCCCTTAAATTGCGAAGTTGGGAAAAAATGTATCAAACAACAAAAAACAGTCGTAATATTAAGATGAACCACATATTTTCTTCGATGAATTGTCTTACAAATCAATTTCTTTTCTGTCTCAAAATCTGCTATTTCATTAAAGATCTAGATCGATTGTTTTTGCTATTCAAAAGTTCAAGATAGAGGAAGACCTCCAAGCTACCATATTTGGCTATTAAAGAAAAAAGAAATCTTTATTTCACTTCTATTTCATGAAAAAGCATACTTACTAAGCTAATAAGTGCACAACATCCACTTTTGTCATAACGTCGTAGACAACTTCTGCCAAATTTAAAATATATATGTTCTAGAAGAAGGAGTAAGCTTCCTAGAAGCATACCACCAGCTAGTAATATAAAAGCGCTGGTGAAATTTAAGATGCCAATATTTTGACTGTGTTGACCTCGCTTTTGCTTCCTATGGCAAGCACCTGCTAACCAGAATTTCCTTAAACGTTCCAGTTCCCCTAAAAGAAAATAACACTTTATAAGTCTACCTTAATCAGAAACACTCAAACTAAGAGCTTTTAAACTTAATTATAACGCAAATAGCTTAAATAAATATAAATTTGCTATTATTCTTTTCTCTGAGCTTTCTAAAATGTTAATGCTTTATTTTAGTGTCTTCATATTAAATGTAAGACAACAATGAACTGAATGAATTCTGTAATACTGCATAGAAATCAAGTTACAACTATTTATTGTCGCATTTGCATATTTTCGAATATTTATTTCGCTTTTCTTTTATCTAAAAGTGAAATGTGCTTCTTTTGCGTTTTCTTTGACAATATGTTATCAGAACATCACATACTATTTATTTAATATTTTTATGACTTTTACCATTTTCCTGTAATTCTAATATTATTTCATTGATCTCAGCCATTAGGTCCGATCCTTTGGGAACACCTACTCCATATCCTGTCATTGCATATCTCTCCCCCACTGTGATCAAATTACAATCTTTGTCTATACCGACTTGGTACTCTAATGGTGTAGCATCATAAATGAAAGCGTCGATCTTCCTATGGCGAAATTAAATCTCAAAGTAATTACTGAGCAGCTAAAAAAAGGATGTGATTGCAATTGTGAAGGAATGAGAAATCTGACAATAATTTCTGATATAATCAGTTTATTTTTATGAACTTTAGCTTGGCCAACGCAATATTACCAATATTATTAGTAGCAGTATAATTATTTATTAAAACATTACTTATTTTACCATCACGATAAAATGCAGTACTTCAGTTAAACCAATCAACCAATAAAACAAATCATACAAACGTTGGATAATTTCAACTTTATAAAAAAATATATACTAGTATATGTTTTAGTCGAAATCGTATTTACAAATTCACAACGATTAAAAATATATGAAATGTAAAACTGTTGTTTAATCTTGGCGTCTTGTATTCTATGGAATATCTGAATTGATTTATTAGTTAAGTATATAAAAAATAAGTACATTATAACCCTTTCTCTTCACTTAATATCATTTTGTTGCTCCAATCTATTTAGGGTAACATTAGGTTAAGTAACTGTGTTGCCTTGGATCCGTTAATTTGTCTATATATTTTGTGTAATTATATTCACGATCAGTTTATATTTTCCGTAGTACCGTACAACATTTTATTGTTACCGTAGCCTCGCATCCGTCTTTTACACTTCAACCTTGCCACGTCACATTACTTGACAAAGGACTGTCGCAGGATTCATTCTGGATCACAATTTGTGGCTAACCACAGCGTGAGTAATATTTGAAATGTCATATTTGATGCCTTCAAACTTCCTGTGATATATTTAACTGTTTAACGAAGTCTTAGTATAATTTTAACTATTTTTATATTGGGAGTATTTAATTGCTACATTCTGGACTACGCCGGTTTTTTTGGGTTTTTTTTGTATTTTCAGTTATTTGCCACTTTTGGATTGGTATTAGAATAAAAGTCAGCACCTGATTCTTTATCTCTTCTTAAACCCAATCACCTGGTTTAAACTGACTGGTCGAGCCAGCACAGTAACTATTTCTGACATTGCTATGAATAAGTTATAAAAAATAAACTAAAGGGAAACTATATGACGAAGAAGACAGACAACACCATCGCTGAAAGTACGAAAAGAGGAAAAGACCTTCATCAATCCACAAAACCTTAAACAAAAACATAAGAGCAACACAAGCCAAGCGGAGTGATATGATATTTATATTAAATATAAGAAATACTTATATAATTGAATTTTAATTTTTGAAATTGCATTCTGCTTTTGTGTTATGTTCTTCCATTGGTTGATATCAGATGGCAGTTAAAAACCATATAACTAGTATATCTAATCTGTATTTCAATGTTTAAGGCATAGAAATATCTTCAATTGATTTGAATTTGTCTATAACGAAAATTTAAATTTGGTGTTGAAAATGTCGTTTCCATTAAATTCATTCACAGTCTGTGCAGATTTAAGGCAACTCGTCACTATTACTAGAGGCAACAGGGTAACATCTAGATGTCTATTATAATGGATTGGATTTCGGTCTATTTGAAATTTTTTAGCCTTTTATTGATACCTGCTCTTATCCGTTTTATATAGTTATTGCTTCCAAAATTGTAGTCTCGGACGTAAGTGTCAAATGTTAATCCAGAGAACATGTCAAACAAATGAATGAATGAAGAATGGGAGAATAAGCAACATTTTATCTTGAAGTAGTTTAAAAAAACGACTACCGACTAGATGAAACAATAAGTTAAGGAAGAATGGGTGTGAAAACGAATCACACAATATAACATGCTAACATGAAGCTTAATACCATATTTCAGGAAACTCTGATATATATTATATTATGATATAAAGGCGAATAAAGTTTCATATATGGCAAATATGGGAAAGAATATTATAGAAGTATAAACAGGCAGACGATATTCTAGCGATGAATGTGAACACGGATAATACGGTAAAGCATCACCACAAAAATCTTGCAACCAAATGTCGGCAAGTTCCGATTTGTAGTGTATGAAAAGGCGACGAAAAATGCATGGGACGGACTCAACGACGGACGGGCGGAGAAAGGTAAACCAGTTTACCACCTCTTTTGGACCGGGGTATACTAAACATGTGTTTATAAAAATATAATAGTTGACTATTTAAGGAAAGAGTTTGCAAAACCAACAAACAATGAAAAAGAAAACAAGCAACAGAAAAAAGAAACCAATCACCCCATGCTACTTTTCTTTAAGATTTTCTGTCCGTTGTTTTGAAGTTCGTGATGCTTGATGTCTTTTATTTTGATTATAATAACATGGTTAACCGTTCAGTAAAGTATAGTATTAACTAAATGACGAAAAACTAATTATTCGTAGCTTTTGCCATTGAAGACCAGAAAAACAATTCTGCACATCAAGTGTCTATTCAGTACAAAAGACACAATTGTATCAACAAGAACTTACTGTGCTTTCAGCGACTCTATGCCCTCGGCTACAGTGGGTTTATTATATGTTTTCATATACGTGAACATCTGTTTGTGATTCTGTCTCAAGTTCTCTTCTGTACTACCATTTGGTACTGTAGCAAACTTAAAGGGAGGCTTCAGAGAATAAGGATTTCTAAGCTGTAATGATAAGATGCAGGTTTTATCTATACTTCAAATAATTTAATTTTGGATGTAACACGTCTTCTAATTGGCTGAAAGATTTTGTCTATCAGCTCATAGACATAATTTTGTCGTGTGACCGTGACGTCATCAACGTTTTTTCATGATTTACTACTTAAAAATGGAATTTAAAATCAAATTATAAGGAATGACTGTAATACTTTTTCTGTCTATTCAAATTAATCTCAAAAATGTGGTGCACACTTTTAAATAACCCGCTACGCGGGTTATTCATTGTGCACCGCATTTTGAAGTTACTTCTTCATAGACAGAAAAAATATTAGTCATTCCTTAATTTATTCAAGCTTTTGTTATGACTAAAAAACAGGAATAACGTATATTCATATCCCCAGTTTAATTTTCAAAATAAATCTCATACTTAAAGCTCACTTCTTTTTAGGGCGAAAAATGGGGTGTGGGGGCGGGGGGAATTTATACATAAACAATCAAACAAGAAAAAAATAGTGATTTAGCAATGCTAAAAGGGTACATTAATCAAGCGCAAAAGTTTGGTTTTTTTTCTTTTAATTTATCACACACTTGAATTTTTCGATGCAATTTCAGATGTGTTTCAACTGTAGTCGGACCTTATACAAAAAGAAATACCAACACCAGTTCACGGTTCACTTTGTGTTCATGTTTGTGATTCATTCCCTTCAATAATCCTGATTCTTTTTGTTATTCCGATATTCCTTTGGTACCATTTTGAAATTATGTAATATAAAGTTAATTGAAATGACAATTTCCCCATGATAAAAAAATAATCAAAATTAAGTTAGTCCATTATGCTGAACTGGCAAATTTATATGAAAAGGAGCTAAAAGTTTATTATTATAATGCTGTATTTAATAAGTGCATGTGTTTGGTCTTCTTGAAACAGTTATAGCACTGTAAGAGATCATTATTTGAATGAAAAGTTCATCTAAGGATTGAATGTAAATCACATTTGTATTTTAATCGAATCCTCTTAATAACTACTCAGAAAATACAGTTAAATTTTATTCGAAAGTATTAGTTTTTTATATGTACGATTAGTTTTTGTTTTGTTTTGTTTTATTTTGTTTTGTTTTGTTTTGTTTTGTTTTGTTTTGTTTTGTTTTGTTTTGTTTTTTGTTTTTTTGTTTTTTTTTCCTTTTTCGCCTTAAAATTATAAATACCATGGAGTTTACAAATATAAATGAATTTAGATATTCCTCTATTCTTTAGAAAAACCTTTAGCCATTAACAAGGATTAATTGACATCAGAATGGTGCCACTATAGAAATTAATGTGACAAGCTCTTTGGTTTATTATGATTCTAATATTACATTTATAAAATGGAAATGGGAAAGTAATGTAAGAACAGGATTAAAAATGTGTGAACGAAATTTAACATAGATAAAGCTGAAACAGTTGCAGCTGCCTCAGGCAAAGTTCACCTTGTAAAGTCTTTGTTTAATGGTCTAAATTTAAATTTCGAGCAAACCTGTTTAAGTTTATTGCATAAACACAAATTCAGTATCATACATTGTACGTTTAAACTGGGATATACCAAGTCCGCTAATTTCGTCCGTCCGGTAGGTCTGTTGACTTTGTGAACATAAAAGTTAATGAATGGACTTACAGGACAAAAGTACTTACCTGCCAGTAAAGTATTTAAGCTAGTGTTTCAGCAACCGAAACTTTTAGTCTTTTGCAAACCTGTTAAAGGTTTTTCAAGAAACACGTGTATTCAGCCGCTGATAGTAAGTTTATTCTGGGAACGCATAATTACAGTTCGAAAGTTTTGCTATTTTGGGTTCTCCTAAAGTGGCTGTAGGTGCTCTTTGGTTCGATGTGTTTTGTTATAATCTTACTAACGTATTCTAATTGTCCGTCGTACCGGTATTACATGGTTGGAGGTAAATGTCTTGGAAGACTTATTTAACACAGTCGCGTTTTCTTGTTCCTATCCCGAATCAGGATCATAAATAGTTGTTATCTTAATTTATGTCTAAATGGTTTTGTCATGTCAGGTAGTTGGTGTTAATGACGATTTTTTTTGTGGTTGCTCTCATTAATATATCGTTCACATCTCCAATTATTGATACTAATATTAGTATCATACTGTTATATTCAAAATGATAGTAAATCGTTTGAAAATAATTAATGGCCATTATACATTCTCGGCTTGATCAATTTTGTATCGCAACAAAATATCGTAACGTAAAAGCTGACAAAAACGTTTACAATGAAATAGCATGTATTGAATTTGGTGAGGAACATTATTTGCTTTACTACACAACTGACATCGCTCCCTTGCCATTAAGCCAAAAAATGTCTGACAGGAAACTTTTAAGTTACAAACAAAAAATTTACCCGCCAATCCGTGATACCAGATAACTTATAATACTCGTCTTTTGTTATCATGAAGGCAGCAAGATTGGCAGTATAACTTGCAAGGAACACCAGGGCGAACAAAGCCCACACATTGGTCATAAATCTACTGGCCACGCCTCGTGGATTATCTGTCGAAACCGAGGCTCCAAACAACATAGACCAAATCAACCAAAATGATCGGAATAAGGAAAATTTGTGATCTAAAAATACAAAATATACATAATAGGATACACATGTCACTTTAAGAATATCTATAATACAATTAAGCATTTTGGTCTGTAATATGAAATTGAAATTATATAGTCATAATTAACCCAAGCAAAAAAATATATATATTCAAGTAACGTTTGAAGTTTAAAACTGTCATGGACTGCTTATTATTATCTAAAAATAAAGCCAATAACCGATAAAGTTACAATGAATGCAACTATATTTCGGTAAGCCTATAGTCGCTTTTATCTCTTTATTTTACAACTAAATCAACGTCGCCAATAAAGTAATAACGGCCTAAAAACATCAATTACAAACTCTACACAAATAAATATTAAATATAAAAGCATTTTAACTGACGAGTAACAAAACCACATATTTACTTTATATTTTCCTACTCCCACAATAGTCTTTTATTTACATTTTATCTATTTTTGTGAGAGCTATTTTATATTTGTTTGGAGAGGGTTTTTAACCGAAATAATGGAACTATATAATATCCTTGTGTTTAAGTATTACATCGATATTTGTCTGAACACTTAAATCAAAATTCGAATAGTCTATCATTTGATGAATTAGAAACAGCAATATAATTTAGCTCAACTTGGAGCTTTATACAATAATTAGAGAATCTTTGACAATAGTCTGACACTTGAATTAGGTTTGTATAAATATGATGCCATCAAAAAATGACATTATAGCCTTGTATGCCAAACGATAGAATGTCTTCAATTTCTTAATGCTATTTATCCTCGAAATTGGAAAAATATTTGATTATCATTGTACCAACATTTGGTGTAGTATTCAGTTATACTAATTGCAATGATTTTATTTTAAGTGTTGCTAGCTGATAGCAATGGTGCTTTGATTAATTCGATGGCTCCATTTTTCACTTTGATAAACTTTTTAAATTGTATTCTATAACAACAACCAATCTATTATACATCAGTAATGATACATGGATCGTATTCAGTTGTATCAAACATTAATTACAAATTTCTTTGTGATTGTTGCTAAAATTGGAATTATAGCTTAACAGTTGATCTCGAAATGCATCCATTAGTCTTTGTAAAGATTAAAAATTAGTCAACAAATGTTTAATAATCATTGTGTGCCATGTAACTTACTATACACATGCTAAAGATTTATATGAGCACAAAATGTGAACAACTACGCTCGAGAACAGTTTGGTGAGTCGTCAATATATGTTCCAGAGTATATAAACAAAAGGTTTTTACTTTAAGTTACGTCAATCACATATACAATTATAAGTAATGACAGTGAAAAAATATAGAACAGAATATAACTTTCGCCAACCCCAAGACGGTTGCTATATAATTCTTGACCTTCTGATTTATACTGTGTAACAATAATAACACTTCTATTGCAACAAAGACCAGTCTGTCATGTCATCCTGTTTGATCATGTGTGTTAATTTTAAAAGGGATATTTACGTTAGTACTATCAACTTCTAACATAAAGCTCCGCTCATTGCTCATGATATGACTCATGAAAAAATTGATATTAAAGGCATGAACATAATTTCTGTCTAACAGAAAAAATAAGAAGTAAAATTCTAAAGTTTGGAAAGTTTTCAACAGTGGTTTCTTTTAAATTTTTGTTCATTTTTTACTATATGTTTTTTATGCAATTGTTTTATAGCTGTCATCGAATAGAACGTAGCCTTATTTAATCAATGTTACTAATGATTGAGAAACTCTTAATTTTAAAAGGTATTCGTTAATAACAAACCTCCATAATGTATATAAAACTACAATGAAGTCGTTGTTATCTTAATACATATCTCGCTTAAATCATTAGAAACCCCGTTCAATTATACCCGACACTACAATTTACCTCAAAGTTACCTCGCAAGCTTGTACGTCCTCTATTAAGACCACTTGGACTTAACCATTCGTAAATGAAGATTGATGCTCCTGTTGCGTGTACACTGAACACCAATATTAGGCACCATGAGGGATAATCATATGGTTCTGCAAATGAACAAGTTTATTTTTGAACATTATATTTCTTCAATATTTTTCTGTTCATAGACATACATATGTTGTACAGAAAACTAAACGTCATCTTCGTACAATGCAACATATAAGAACATGAACATGGATTCCTTTAGAATTTATGCATTTATAATTTCAATCAAAGTAAAACATTTTGTAATTTCTGCGTTTGATTCGCATTTGTGTATTTTGGATTGTCTTTTATCAGGAACGCTTACATACAACATGATGTTGAACCAAAGAACGGAGAACTACCACATCCTGAAATATTTTACAGAAAACGACATAAAAACATATTTGCAGCTTTTCATAATTTTTGTTTTTTCCAAACGAACATCAAAACTTTTTTTTTAAATAGTTAGTAATGTTTCATTTATTAACCTACTTTACATCTACATTTTGTTTTCACTTGTTTTGTTCTTAATTGCTTAGGCCATTAATCATACTCATATAATCGTAACTTTCAAAACCAACGGAAATGTGAATTCTCGGGTTATACGTCAATGGCATCAACATCACAATCTTAAAGCACAATAAAACGATGTCCACATCAGCCCACAGCATATTATTTATAAAAGTATATTATAACAATTGCACCAATAAATCGTTAATTCACAATATTTTGTGTTGATAAGAAATATAACAGATTCTGTACAAAAAGACACATTTAGGGGTGGTAGTCACTATTTTCTATCACACACAAAATAATTACAGGTTATGACTACTATACCTAGGAAAGCAGTAGGTGATATAGCTCCCTTCCGTATGGATACAATAATTGTTATTCCTGTCTCAAGGAATGGAATAGAAAAGTCAATATGTTCATTTCGTGCTGGTGTTATTTTTAAAGATGTCAGAACCATGTCTGCTTTCCGGTCCTTAACTTCTCTAATAAGACCGTTCCACTCCCCAGTTATCTACAATATAAGCGAAAAAAAATTGTTTAGAGATTTTAGTTTTTAAGTTAGTTTTAATGATCATATTCTAATAACAAACGTTATTTTTTTTCTCTGTGATATGATTTTAATTCAAAATCATTGCTTCTTGTATTCTCTGAAAAAAAGTTTGTCGACAGATCTATTTTATATTTCTGTCTATCATTTTCAAATCCTTTATCATTCAATCAATTCGTACTCCAGGTCAAAAGTTGAAAATGTGGGATTACCTCAAAATGTAATCTGCTTTCGTGTTGTTGGGTTTCTTTCTCATCAACCTAGAGCAACACCGTTTTGTATTCGTATGATTAGAAAACAAAAACAACTACCAAATATGTATAGTAATTGAAAATAAATTTTTGACAAAATTTTCTTATTACAGCAATTAATCACAAACGGCATACTTGGTTTTCGAAAGCTTATTAATTTTCTTAAATGTCAACGTTTTGTTTTGTTTTGATTTTGAAGTTTTTTTTACATTTTACACAAATACCACTAACTGCCAATGTTATAATTTTATGTAACAAATTCCCCAAAGCCTCCGCAGTTTATTTAATGTAATAAGGAAGTGTTCACAAGAGAAATGTCATTTTGATACCAATTAAATCTTTTCCTCTAAGCTTAAAGCAGCACTTGTCAGCATGTAGTGAAAACTTTCCCCATCTGTACCCTTGTCTTAACGCTGTTAAAGAGCTTAATTTCTTAGCACATTGACAAAACCAAACGATGTGTTCTCCTTAAACTTAATTGATTAGGCTTCATCTGGTGCCAATGAGTTTTGTAATCCGTATCTTCTTACGTTTAAAACTACTTCAACCAATTTCTTTAAAATCGTTACTAATTTGACGTAAAATCTTATTGAAACAAATCAATTTCACAAATTAGGTATCACATTTATCAACTTTGAGCAACACTATTAATTGTTTGAAAACCATTATCGTTTTGTAGGCTGGTATTGTATAATTTGTGTCTTTGAATATTGTAGGCACTTCTGGCAAGACAATTTCATTCTTCAGTTGCTTTAATAGGATGAACACTTTTAGATCGATTTTTTATTTGAGGTCGTGCATTTTAAATTCCTATTTCAACAGATTAAAAAAAAAACACACAGGTTTTAAATAATACTTTAACAATAAACTACCTGGTCAGGAAGACCCCAAGTCTGATCCGGGACTTCGTAAAAATCGTAATCAAATTTCATCTCTGTGCTAAGAATCTTCAAAAGGTCAACACATAACCCAGCGCAGCATCGTAAAACTGTTTCGTTTGCTAAGGTACTATCGTTCCCGCTGAAAAAAAGAGAAAAACAATATCAATCATTTCAGTGGTTTTAGTTCAAGACGAAGAATTAATATGTTCTTAACATGGTCTGTAGAAGTTCTCGGTGATCTAATGTACATATGCCTCATACCCTTGCTTTCTTTGAATTGATATAATTATTGATAACAAAGTTGTGAAATAAAAAACCATTTTAAATTTTGGTGTTTACTTTCATTTTTTTTCTCTGTAAAACCACAATGTCGTATTTAGCTAACCTTTTCATTGCGCGTGTCTAACAGTTAACCGTCGACTTGTTTCGCTGATCATTATTTGTTATCATTTTTTACGAGCTTTTAAACAAACAATTATACAAAAACCAAGTTCTGACCAGCAAAACAATACGACACCAAATTTCACGAAACAAACAATCAAAAAAGTTTGACGGTTCAAACATTTTGGATTTTTTTTACTAAACAAATAATACGACTCCAAGTTTAAGACTAGGCAAACAATACGACACCAAGTTTTGACTTACAAAACAATAAGCCACCAAATTTGACTAGACAAACAGTCCAACAAGTTTTGACTGATCAAACTATTTTGGAGTTCTTATTGTCCACTTAACCTGCAATGCGACACCACTTTTAATAAACCAACAAATACGACACCAAATTTTTGTGGGAGGTCGTATTGTATAATGTTTTGTTTCTGAAGAGAAAAGGAGATTTTGTCGGTATGTCAATGTGACCCTACGTCAAATTATAAAAGCTTAAAATTGTTCAAAACTGCAATTTGAAAACTGCTAAGTATTTATAAAATAAATAATTATGAGGAAAAGGCAATCGAAAGTTTTTTATTGTCTTTCATGAACAAATGAATCGATTTTCGTTAATCCGTCCTTGATGAAAATCTTACGAACATATATAAAATTTTAATATTGTATCATGTATAGGTCTTCAACATTGATGAGTAGCGCTGAATGACATTTTGATTTTAAAGAGATATAAAAAAAATGTTTTAGGTATAACATTTAAGATCCTCTAACATTAATATTATAATAGTTCCGGTAGATTTAAATAACTTTCCATAAAACAAATGTGTTTAGCTATATCTCTTTTAATTGGAATAGGCACATGATTTACATACAAATGTCAAATTGTTCATCAGAATCAGTAGTTTTGAATTTCGGTTTCTGGAAAATCGTGTAAGCATCAAATTACCTGCATGGCAGTTTTTTAGACGAAAGATCATTATAATTGTATTGCGTCAATGAAAAAGCAACGAGATACAAAGAAAACTATTCAAATAAATAAACCTCTAAACTTTAAACAAATCTTTATGCTTTTATACGTTAGTGACAAATCCAATTTTATAAGTTATTAAAATGTACACTCAAGACATGAAAACGATATCAAAAGTGTTAGAAAACCTATTTATTTATTACGCAATTTTGGCATATCAATTAATATCTCATGAAAGATACCCCTGACAATCTGTAAATTACAAACAAAATTTATGGGCCCTGAAAACCTTGATCAATAATTCAGTTATCAGTCGAAATTAATGCATTTATCTTAAATTCTTTGCTCCATATTTTCCAGACATTGGTTCTTGAGATTTAATGTGAATACAATTGCCAGCCTAACCATAAATTTTGTTGGGAGATTCAGATCTTTTATATATGCCATCAACTGCTAACCGAATCTATTTTTCTTTTCTTTTTTCAAGAGAAAAATACAAGAATAACAATGGTTTTCAAATGTTAATTTTTGTGAATTAATTTTGGTTTATATTGATTTTTCAGTATTTATATTTCGTCTAATATATGTCAATAGTCGATACATTTTAAAACTATTTTCTGTCTGTTTATACTGTAATCTTATTTCCTTATTCGAAAAATAAGGTAAATACAAAATCAAACAGGATTTTTTTATTATTACAGAATAATGTCAACATTTTTTTTATCATATATAATGAATTGTACTGGTTATTATACAAAGCCTTTTGAAACCCAAGATGATTCAAAATTCTCATACGCAAACCCAACAGTTACAGTAGTTTGCCTAAGATCAAATCAGAAGTCTAATGAGGAGTAAAACCCATACCGTTTAGGTCACAGTACAGCCTTCAAAAACATGAAAAAATGTGAAATAATCATTAGGCTAGTAATGGACTTCACGACGTTTTCGATTTTGATGAACGTAATCTATGTATTACTGGTAAATTATTAGGTCAGGGATTTCGTTACCACATATTACTTAAAACCTTTACTAAATTCGTCCATAGATATAAAGATTTCGTTTTGAAGTTTGGTTGTACCTGTAGAAAACTTATTTCAAACGGGATAACATATCCTCATTTTTACGGAGATGTTCTTTACCGTGCCCGGAAATTTAGAAACGATCCTGGTAAACTTATCGATCCTTTAAATAAACTTATTCTTATAGGTTACCAATTCGACACTGTAATTAGATCTTTGAATATTGTTTTATTAGTATTAATATTGACTTTGTTATCAGTAAATTAAAAGCAAACTAAATATAATTGTTATATACATATGCACATTCATGGATCTACAATATGTCGGTACCTGTATCTTAGATGCATGATTTTTTTCATTAGTTGTTATTGGCTTTGAACTAGCTGTCAGTAACTGCGAGTATTCTCAGATCTGTACTAAGTGTCTTTTTGTTGTTGGGATGTACAAGTACCCGGCCACGTCCACTCTGTGTTTTTGTTAGGTGTATTTCTATTTGTATCCATCTGATGAGTTAAGCCTTTTTCAACTGATTTTTATAGTTCGTTCTTGTGTTGTACCGTAACACCACTGTCCCAGGTTAAGGGGAGGGTTGGGATCTCGGTAACATGTTTAACCCCGCCACATTCTGTTTGTATGTGCCTGTCACAAGCTAGGAGTCTGTAATTCAGTGGTTGTCGTTTGTTGATGTGTTACATATTTGTTTTTCGTTCATTTTTTTGTACATAAATTAGGCCGTTAGTTTTCTCGTTTGAATTGTTTTACATTTTTCATTTCGGGGCCTTTTATAGCTGACTATGCGATATGGGGTTTGCTCATTGTTGAAGGCCGTACGGTGACCTATAGTTGTTAATTTCTGTGTCATTTGGTCTCTTGTGAAGAGTTGTCTCATTGGCAATGATACCACATCTTCTTTCTAATATTCAGTCGCTACAAACTCAGATTTGTACTTGAAGAATTGTGAATCGTCCTTGATTGTAAATTCAGTGTACAAGAGCGGATACATGTGCCCCCTAAATTCGGAAAAATATCATTTTTGGCATAAAAAGGTAAAATAATTGTCTAGCTTCTCTCGCCAAAATTAGCTTTGCACTACCCCGTTATACAACTAGCCACTGAAACAGCGTCTGATTTAGGGTATAACAACGATACGGTAAAGAAAATAGTACCAATGTCATAACTGTCAACGAAGACAAATTTACTCTTAAAAGACTTCTAAAGATTTTTTACATGCCTCCATTAACACATATACTAACCAAGGGCCACAACCCGGCCCCTCCTCTCTTTATTTATTGATTTGTTAAAAAAAAACCAGTTCAATTTCAATAACAACGAGAGGCAGATAGTTTGGTTTTATTTTGATTGTATTGAAATTTACCTTTTTTCATTAGGTAGTAATATCACGAGTATGGGAACCTCATTTTTATTTTTGTTATTCTTTTTAATAATTCATAAAACCTTTCTTTTTGTATTTTATTTTGAATTCTATTATGAACTTTTCATCTTAGTTATATAAAAGTGTTATTTTTCATATTTTGTTTGTTAAATATTTGAGATGTTTGCACAACCTTTAGCTTGATAACACTGTATCTATTTACTATATTTTCCATCAACTACATTTTTTGTTGGCGTCTTTGTTAGATTTATTTGTATGTTTGTTTGTATTTTTTAGTCAGTTGTGTTGTATGTCTGTGATCCCAATTATTGTTACATTAACCTATTATGTCTGTTTGGGTTGCTCACCAAATTTTGTCAATATAACGGAACTATAGACAACTGTCATACAAGTAGGAGTTTAAGCTAGCTATAAAACTGTAAAACCAGGTTCAACCCACCACTTCGAAAAAAATCCTGTACCAAGTCAGGAATATGCTGGTTGTTTTCCATTCTTTCCGTTGGTTGATAAAGTCTAACGTTTGATTTTGTCCGTTTTTAAGGACTGCCCTTTGTTTTAATTTACCTTGGAGTTCAGTATTTTTATTAATACTTTTTTGGAAATAGCATGAAATAATCACTGTTATTCCCTAATACTCCATAGTATCTCAAATGGATAGTCACTATAACAGTTATCTTTAACGTTTGAATTATTTGTCGTTGCAGCTTTGAATTAATCTGTGGTTGTGTTTTAATAAAAAGTCTTTCAAAAATTTTGGCGTGATTCATATCCAAACTTCAGAAATTTTCAACAATACTATGAATTGCATCATTCACTTTTCTTATGGAATTTATCAATACTGGGATCAAGGGTCGCGATGTTTATACGACATTTTTCTAAGATTATGAGGAGAGATCCTATTTGATTGATGTCTCTAATGTTGTCAATAAGAAAAAGACAAAACTTCTTCACAAATTCTAATCTAGATGAATAAAGGTTAGGAAATTCTGTCGCCATGGAAGTGATATTTCTGAGTTACGATACTAGCTATGATTTGATTTTTTGACAGTACGTGTTTTTCTATTGTGATTATCACAGCATCAAATATTATTACAGCAGTATATTGCCTGAAACTAATACCACATTTCCATAGTCAATAATGCAATTTGTCTTTGATTGTTCTTAAATAAAACATATATAGTAAAATTATGGATTGCATAGTTCAATCATTTCAAGATGTACAATAGAAATTTTATCTTTGGACCTTACAGCACAGTTTATTTATAGTAAAACTTTATAATTGTTAGCTGTTGATCTCTTTTAGTAATACTGGCTGCTAGGCTTTTTTCCTCTCTGAATGAGGAAACCAGCAGAAGACTGTCACAATCCATTATATTGTTAATTTAAGATAATATTTTGACCATCGTTGTACTGATGTCAACAAAAAGGGAGATGTGGTATGCTTGCAAATGAGACAACTATCCATAATGACCAAAGGACAAAAATATGAACAATTACAGGTTAGCCTCGTTGAAGATCGCATGTTAGCCTCTTTTGTTATATTTTTCTATTTGGTAATTGTCTCATTGAAAAGGAACTGTCACAATTTCTAGCTTTCATTGGTCTGATAAGTATTTGATGTAACAACCACTTTACGATGAAGCAGAGTTGTTTGGTTGCGACAAACAGAAAATGACTTATAGTAATTTCAGAACGATTTGTATAACCTTATAATAATGTAACGTATGATATATTACTGGAGTCAGAATAATCATTTGTTAGTTATTGGTTAACAGTATATATCCATAAAAGTCATTCAGTTACAGAACAGTTGGTTTTTGCTTGTGATATTTTTGTGAATGGTAATACCAGATATATAACATTTCAACAAGACTGGTGGTATTGCGAAAGGCAAACTATTCTAAGTAACACCATCCCAATGATTGTCACATTAACCAATTATGTCTGTTTCGGATGCTTACCCAATTTTATCAATATAACGGAACTATATACAATTGTCATACAAGTGGGACACTTAGCTATCTATATATAAACCTAAGTTAAGCCCATCATTTTCTTCGGGAAATGCCTGTACCAAGTCAGGAATATGACAGTTGTTTTCCATTCGTTTCGTTGGTTGATATATAGTCTAACATTTGAATTTGTGAAGTTTTATGGACTTTTTTATGGATTTGTTCTTCTGTTGTACTGTTACACCACTGTTCCAGGTTAAAGGAAGGTTAAGACAACAAACTAGTTTAACCCCGCCACATTCTGTATGTGCCTGTCCTAAGTCAGGAGCCTGTAATTCAGTGGTTTTCGTTTGTTGCTGTATATCATAAATCAGGCCGTTTGTTTTCTCGTTTGCATTGTTATACATTTGACATTTCGGGGCCTTTTATAGCTGACTATGCGGTATGGGTTTTGCTCATTGTTGAAGGTCGTACAGTGACCTATAGTTGTAAACTTCTATGTAATTTGGACTCTGGTAGAGAGTTGTTTCATTGGCAATCATATCACATCTTCTTATTTTCATATTCCCCTTTTTAATTTACCTTAGAGTTCGGTAATTTTCTTATACATTTATACTAACTTGTCATGTATTATTATTTAATTGGCGCTTTATTTAAAAGAAATACCTACTGTTGTATAGGATTGTACACTAAACGACATGGTACTTCATGGTGACCGCATTTCTTTTCTGAATTTAATTTTCGATACTTGACATATGGTTCTTCTTTTAAAGTGACGATCCTGAAATGACGACGATCAGGTTTCCCCTTTGGTGGTGATTTACTATCTCCAGGCCATGTTATATCATTCATTTCAATATCCATTTCAGTTCTACCTCCTGACTGTCGTGGAACCCAGTTACCTACCTAATATGATAGTTTAATTTACCATATAAACAACTATTAAATTTCATTTGTCGTGTTTTAATTTTAACTATCTTAAAGAAGAGCATGCAATTAGGCAAAGTGTAATACAATTCAATATAATATAGCGATTACTTGTTGTAATACAAAGAAATACTTCAGAGATTCAAGAAAGCCCTTTAAATATGATAAAGTAAAGTTTTATAAATAGTTTTCCCGTCTCAAAAACAAAATGAACATAATCCTTATTTATTCATTTATTTATTTACAAATACTATCGTTTATATAAATATAGAATGGTGATTTCCATTGCTTTACGGAACTTGTATAATTCTTATTTTATAGCTTTAGTTAATTAAGTATGAATTTGCTGTTTTCTTTCAATGAGGTATTAATATGTTTGCGTAACTAAGTTGGTTTTATGCTTTATTGTCTTTATAGATAAGCATATTTTTTACTCGGTAAAAAGATGGCAAAAAATGGTTTATTTTTATATACAATAATGCTAGATTGTATTGCATTTTGTTTCCTTTATTACGTAAATGTATATATTTTTTCATTTTCATGTATTTTCTTTTTTGTTCAAGGTTTATGAAAATGAACAATATAAAGGTGATCTCCAATTTATATTATTGTGTATCAGATTGTTTTCCTTAATAGTCAGTTTATTTATTACCTGTCTCCAAACTTTTTCTGTTCTCAAGTTCGTTGTTTTACTTTGTGTGTTGTAGATGACTAGTTTTATGAACTGGTTTAACCCGATAGGATTAAATCTAACCGGCGGTATATCTTTATTTATAAAACTAACATTTCTTATATTTTTCATGTGCCTGCAATGAAAACAAAGTATTTTTTTATAAATCATCAAGTGCAATGTAGAATGATTTTTTTACAAATTTACAGGGAGAAAAGATGATGATAACATCCACACTCGTAAAAATGTTTAATTGGCACATTGCATATTTTCTTATATTAATTATAAGTATAATCAAAGTATAATTGGTGATACATTCTTTTTATAAGGAAAATAACCCTCCATACATCAATGTGTCCAAATAATGTATTTTGTGTAGGAAAGGGCTGGTTCAGTGTTTTCTTGCCAAATACAAATCTAAAAATATTTTTTGTTTTTCTTATCCATGATTTAATGGCATAATTATCAAAATTGCCAATTTTGGCATTTTGGACTTTCCATGTTCCCCTGAATTACGGTAGATTAAGTGGTGTTGGCTTTGTTGAAAGTATATAAGAACAAAAATTGTTTCAGTCTAGCAAAAAGTAAAATAACAAAAATACCGAACTCCAAGGAAAATTCAAAACTGAAAATCCTTTATCAAATGGCAACATCAAACGAATGAAAAACAACTGTCATATTCCTGACTTGGAACAGGCATTTCCTTATGTGGAAAATGGTTGATTAAACCTGGTTTTATAGCTAGCTAAACCTCTCACTGGTATGACAATCGCATATAATTCCATTATATTTACAACAATGTGTCAACAAAACAAACAGACATAATAGGTAAAAATGTCAAAAATTGGGGTAGAGCAGTCAACATTATTTCAACAAAGAAAAACAAAATTGCATATAGATACACTATAGACAAAGTTTATAAGCAAAATGAAAGACAAGAATACTAAGTACAAAAAAATGACCATAGCACAATGACACAATGGCGGAGTGTATAAAAACCGATCCACGCCAAAAGGATATTACCAAACATGAATCTTTATGGCAACCTCTGTAACTTTAAGGGACGCGAAAGATACCAAAGGGACATTTAAACTCATAAGTCGAAAATAAACGGACAACGTATGGCTAAAAAAGAAAAAGACAAAACAGACGAACAACATTACACAAAACACAACATAGAAAACTGAAGACTGAGCAACACAAACCCAAACAAAAACTGGGGGTGATATCAGGTGCTCCGGAAGGGTAAGCAAACCAATTATCAAAACCAAATTTTCTTTTAGGGTCCTAGGGATTCAGCACAAAACCAACAACCACACAGATAAGAAATTGCTGTTTTAGAATACTGATGCAACTTCATGTCAATTGGTCAAGTCAATGAAAATATTGATTTATAAATTTGCTGCGTCCGAATCACTTTTCTGGATTTACCTTCATCAGGAACGCTTAAACCAAAACTTTGAAAGCCAATCATGTATAAATACCTGAATAAAGGTGGTGCTAAATGACAAAATTAGACAAACAATAATAGCCAAATTGATATAAGGTCGACTTTGCCTTAACTGCATATATTTTCATACAGTTGTTAAACTGAACCGTGATGGTACTCCGAAACGCGATAGTCACGCTTTTGTGCGATGCTTTGACGCTGAAGTGTGTTTTTGATCACACTGAAATGCGATGGTGGCTTTGTGACGCTATCGCGTTGATAGCTACGCGATGGTGGTAAAGCTGAAGTGCGATGGACATACTATATTTTCAATGCTTTTCATGTCAATGTAGAAGTCAATTTGTTTGTTTAGAATCAGTTTTCTGGTTTTTAAACTAATAAGGGACTTATACACTTTTAATACTACGGAAAATTGGTGTTGAGGGGAAAGTCAACCTTCTGTAGCGGATTTTTTCCGAAATCTACGAAAGGTTAATTTTTTACGTATGATGGAGCAAAAATCAAAGAGAGCGATATTTCATTTAGTATGCGTCCCAATCGCCCCGCAGAGTCCTAAGAAATTGCAGAACTTTGCAAAAGGCTGTTGGGCATTAGCTGATCAATAAGAAATGCCGGCAACATAATTTCTATAATTTGCATATCTTCTCCATACCAAGGCTTTGTTTTATAGCTATTAATACATATATTTGTTTTTAAGTAATGCAAGTCAACTCCTTCGGTTCAAAATAACGGAGTCAAAACTGAGATGTTTCCCGCCAGAATTTGTCATCTCGTAGACTCTAAATGACCATGAGACATGCAGTTGTTTATCCCATTTAACTCAAAATGACAAAACTATCGGAAATCAACCAAATATCTTTCACTTTTTTATTGTATCTCGTATACTCTTATTAACCCTCTAAAGCCCTGTTGTTCCAATCAAAGTTTTCTTTGACCATGAAAACTTGGTTAAAGTTTTCGAAATATTTTTGACAGGGACAACGTTCAAAGAAAATTTTAACAGACTTTCAAGAAATTGTATCTCATTCTATTTTTCTTGAAATTTGAAAGGACTTTGATTGGAATAAGTCAATAAGAGATGAGATAGGAATGCCGCAGTTTTGTTAGATAAAAACAAATGGTACAACGGTTAAAAAAGAGGAAATGAGTACGTAATAATGCTAAAAGAATATCGCTATGGACAAATGACGTGACAGAAGATTTGAATGAATCGGTTGAGAACAAGATATCAAAACCCATCACCTGCTTAAAAGAAACCAATATATATCAACTTTAATTTGTCTTGGAAAATTGTTAAGACACAGGAGCTATAGTGAAAGAGCAATGTTATCATTCTGAAAGAAGTTTATTTTGGTTGATTGGCTCTGTAAACTTTGATAGTGACAACAGGGCATAATGTCTTACGTATCATATCTGATACTAGCTCTTAGCCTTCATTGCCATTAAGGGGTTAAGAACGATTGTTTTTTATTTATCATCATATAATGTTCCTTAAGTTTGAAATGTATAGCGATAGAACAAGGATTTGATAAAAGGAAGTGGAGGACATTGTGGAACACCTGGTACGTATAGGTAATAATTCTAGATAATACATAAACTTAAATATTTTCATAAGTTACAATACAAGTATCGAAAATTGATGCAATCACGAGCTTTGATCTACAATGGATAAATTGTTTGGATAATTGTTTTGATACACAAAATAAGCTAAATTGCATTGAAAAATATGTTGAAACAAAGTAGATTGGCGGACCTTTTCATACATAATTTACCGTTTTTTCATACACCATTTACCTGAAAAGTGCTAATCCATCATTCCAGAAGTTCAAATGGGACTGGTTACATGACATTTTAGGTGTAATTGTATAATTCTTAATGTAAGGCGCCATATTTTTCAGTGCCATTCCCCATACGTAAATTGATGTTTTCAATGCTATGTCTAAAACAGATTCTAATGTTTGACCGTCAACACCATAATGTTTAAATCCTAGAATAAAAAAAGAGTAATATACAATAAAACGAGAATTATAGTCTTATAATCGTGATGAATGTGAAAGGCTGAATGAATGCAGTAGATGCTATTATGAAACGACTTGCACTACTTCACCTAGCAAAATTGACGAAGAAAACGAACATGAAAGTTTGAAACAAAGACAACGCTTACTGAAGCATCATTGTGAACACAAATAACTTTATTTCTAATATATAGGAATGCAAGGAGATGCATGTAAGGCATTCGTCTATGAGATAACAACCAAACATATGTTTGTATGTGGTATAAACACTTTAGGCCATTTTATGGATGTAGGTATTGTTCAAACATGTTCCTCTTTATCATTATCGAACATAATCACTTTAGAAAATATGTCTTAGACGTATTGATTTACACCACCGACATAATGCTCAGACACATTGTGATGTGCTTGTTTTTGTTTGATTATTTTTCCATCACTTTTACTTTTATTCTCCATTTTGACATTTCTGCAACAAAAGACATACCGGTACCAAGGATTCCGATAGGATACGATTGCGCAGTACGCCTTGCTTTACCGTTAGTTTATATTTGTTATTTCTACAAAAGACATACCAAGGAGTCCGAGTGGATACGATGGTGCAGCACGCCTTGCTCTTGACACAATGTTACCAATACTGGAAGATGATATGATCCACATATACTCTTTACTGGTCAGTCCTAATTCAGTAGCACAGTCAAATAAATTTTTGGCCTCTGCAGAACTAAAATAAAATAATACACACATCAACATTGAATACATTAGAGTATTTCGGAGTTCTAAAATAACAGAAGAAAGATACTAGCAAATGAGCTGTCGGCATTGTTGAAATTGGTAATCTTTCATACGGAAATGATGTAAGTTACTTGCATAAATTATACATCTTAGTTATATTCTATTTTAAAATTGTCACATATGATTTATTATGGCATAGCACCTTGAATGTAACAAAAATACTCTGTTTTCTTTTACATTGTTCTTTACCAAGTCCCTCTTCATATTGACCTTCATTTTTGCTTCATCATGTGACGAGGTATCTATAAGAATCTTTGACAATAGTTGTAACCTGAAAGAATGAAAAAGTTGATTCATTTGTAATATACATAGTAATTGATTTAAATAGTAGATACGTTTGTAATATTAATAAAGAAGCTTGCCCATTGCCTAGAGTGCATAAAGAAGAACTGAACTTGCTAAATTCAGCAACAGAAAATGACAAAAAAAGGAAATGTAGACACTTTAAATTAACTGGACATTGTAAATAAAAATATGTGAAAATTACATGCCTAGCTTTGCCTAAAAAATGAATTATGAGGATTATTAAATATATATATTTCAACTCCTTTACTTTATCATTTATTAAATAGATATGTTAACAGGGTATCATTTCTTTATGGTTTGTCAAGCAAATACTTTAAACTTCTCACAAAACTAAAATATAACATATATGGTATCGGTAATTACTATTAGGGATATGGTTACTATGGCAACATGGCAAATTGTTTAACCTAGATTTTTGATATACATAAACTGACATGGAAAGTAGGCCACTGTTCCAGTTTAACTGGATAGAAGGGAAAAAAACACAGTTGTTGTATTCTGTTTTTTTTTCAAATTTTCACCAAATACCAGAAACAAGGGCAAACTTGTCAATTTTCACTATTGAGATGGAACATTATAAAAGGGCGTTTTTTAAAAGCTACAGTCCATGTCACTCTGAAATTTTTCAGTATTGTTTCTCTTACACAAACAAGGGCAAACTTGTCAATTTTCACTATTGAGATGGAACATTATAAAAGGGCGTTTCTTAAAAGCTACAGTCCATGTCACTCTGAAATTGTTCAGTATTGTTTCTCGTACACATGGGTACTTATTGCTGCATAACAAATCTCATTTTGCAATATGGACCTCATTTGGACCCAAGATCTCATGACTGGTCACAATTATATATTAACATATATTTTTAATATATATCTACAATTGATTTATAAAGGAGATTTATTTGTAATTCATATGCACAATTGATTTATATATTGAAGTCTACTGTAAATGTATTATAATTCTAAATGTTTCGTCCGTAAGGACAAACGAGAGCAGTTAAGAATCCGTATTGGACCTTCAGTCCCCAGCCTTTTTACTTTCATTTTATGTCAAAATGGCTTATTATAGACGACTAACTCATATCTTGATAGGATAATAGTAGGTTTTTTTAATAGTTATTCACATGAATTCACAAAACTGTTGATTTTTAATTTGAAATCACAAAACTGTTGACTTTTAAATTGTGTAAACATCTTATATTTTTGTATTTTAATCTAATTTAAAGCATCATTTAAGTTGAAATAACGAAATCCATTATTTTATTCTAGAAGACGTCCCTAGTGAAGAAATGAAAGAAATGATCAATTACACTGCTTACTTACATCATCATTTGACTTAATGTTTACTGAAAAGAAGCTAAAGGATATCCCAGAGGAAAATATATAAATTGTAGAGTCTGGTCTGTTTATATAGAAATAAGCACCGGTAATACAAACAGATGATGGACATTTTGAGAATTGAGTTCTTCTAAGGCGAAACAATTTGTGCAAATGTACATTAATTTTGTACCAAAAAAGAACTTGATTCTAAAAGGGGAATATTTTATTGAAAGATAAAAATACAAGTAGTTATTTTTTTCACCACAAAAAGAGATCATCGAAACAACATATTTTCGCAGGCATTTATTTACTATTTACTGACCAATCTGTTTCGGTAACTATTACAAGTTTTTTATTAAAGATTTATTGATCAAGTTCAATGGGAAGACAATATCTAGCAGAGTAGAAATATGCCTGTTTCTTCCTTCATTCACATTTTGTCAACTCTGTCTCAGCCGATTCAATATTAAAAAGTTGAAAATAGAAAAAAGTTGTAATCTATAAAAAAAAATCAAACATAAACAATGAATAACTACTCATTTTGACACAGTAACCGCATGAACTCAAAGGATGAGTTAAGAATAAGTACATCTACATAAAACATTTATTGATTTGCTAGCAATACCAGTCATGCAAATCATAATTATGTAAGGCCGTATATAGAAGAACAAGACTTGGTGATTTGATCGGTACAAAAAAAATCTTCAACAAATTGGGATTTAAAATATTGTATTGACTGACAAAATCATGATAACAGCCAAAGGTTTAACTGTAATCTTAAAGTTTCATTCCTTTCCTCAGCATCTTCATTGTCTACAGAATATCTTTCAAGTGTCTAGAAAGTTCTTGTAACAAGTGCAGGTACGTGTGTATCGTACCAGATGCGACACGAAGTAGCATTTGTAGAAAGAACTGGTATACGTTATTGCTGTTGAGGAATGATGAATTCATTATTGCAAAACTCTTAAGCAATATAATTCATAGCAAACATTCAAAACAATGCTGTGAGTTATTGCTCATTTTAAATTCTAATACATTGTTTTGTTAATTTTGACTTTGAATGCTGGCAAAAAAAAGATCATCAGATTTTAATTCTTTTGACATGTTTTATATTATGTAATATATGCTGTTAATTTTGACATAGCATGTTTATGCTTTTGCAATAAAGATTCATTTATTCATTTATTAATTTGATTCTTGCTGTTTTGTCTTCCGCTTCTATTTTGTTGTTGCTTTTAAAAGATTCTTACAGTAACGCTGTAGGACACCTGATTCCGATTGTTTTCACCTCCATGTCTGTCTGCTGATACTAGAATGAAATCTACACATTTGTTCACAGTCTACATACATTAACAGATATTAGAATGGACAGGCAAAATTGTGAGGGCTATAAGCAATTGATATCAGCATAAGTTAGTTGATTTTTTATATTTAGTAGCTTCAGCTGATTTCAATAGATATAAAGCTTTTGCAAATTTTAAATAGACATGTCAATGGTATTACAGGATTTGCAATATATAAGACTTTCTTGTACACCCTAGATAACACTACGACAAAAAATAGAGGCTCTAACTAAAGAGCCCGTGTCGGTCACCTAGGTCTATGTGCATCTTCCATAATGGATACTCTCCAACATTTTGGACTAGAATAGAACTCGTTACAAAAGTCTCTTGTCTTGTTAATCATTTTTTGCTATCTCAAGTGGCTATCTATCTATAATAGTTTTCAAGTAAATCGACAAAACACTAAAAATGGGTAAAAATTCCTTTACAAAGAACAATAACTCCAATAAGGAGTGAACTGATAATTATGGCCAGTAGATTTATTTGTTAATCTTATGTTACTGATCATTTTTGCTAATTTAAATTTCTAATTATCTATTATAGTTTTTCAGATATTAGGCAAAAACACAAACAATTGGTAAAAATCGGAATTAATGGGTAATAACTCCAATAAGGGGACGTCAAATGATTTCAACCATGTTCACTTATTTGTAGATCTGGTCTTGCTGACCATTTTTGCTTAAGTTTCTATCTATCTATTATAGTTTTTATGCCCCAACTAGAGGCATTATGTTTTTCAGTCTGTGCGTCCGTCCGTCCGTTCGTCTGTCCGTTCGTCCGTCCGTTTGTACGTCTGTCCCGCTTCAGGTTAAAGTTTTTGGTCAAGGTAGTTTTTGATGAAGTTGAAGTCCAATCAATTTGACACTTAGTACACATGTTCTCTATGATATGTTCTTTCTAATTTTAATGCCAAATTAGAGTTTTGACCCCAATTTCACGGTTCACTGAACATAGAAAATGATAGTGCGAGTTGGGCATCCGTGTACTATGGACATATTCTTGTTTTTTATATATATATTGGGTAAAAACGCAAAATATGGTAAAAGCATTATTAAAGAACAATAACTCTAATAAAGGGTTATCAGACAATTTCAACAATGCTTACTTCTTTGTAGATTTTGTCTTGTTGGTAATTTTTGCTTATTTTAAAAAAATTCTATATTTCTGTTTTAGTTTTCAGATATTAGGCAAAAACACAAAAAAATGATAAAAATCGTCTTCAAAGGGCAATAACTTCAACAAGGAGTCATCTGACTATTTTGACCATGTAACTTATTTGTAGATCTTGTCTTGTTGACCATTTTTGCTTACTAACGTTTCTATCAATCTATTATAGTTTTTCAGATATTAGGCATAAACGAGAAAAATTGATAAAAATCGTCATTAATAACTCCAATAAGGAGATGTGTGAAGATTATGATTATAATGATTTATTTGTAGATCTTGTCTTGCTGACCATTTTTACTATACAAAGTATCCCTCTATCATTTATAATTTTCAAGACAGTAGGCAAAAATGAAAAACAAATGGTAATGACTCCTATAAGAAGTCGCCTGACAGTTTTGATGTCGATAGTCAGTAGGTAGATCTTATCATTCTTAACATTTTCGCATCTGTCAGATTTTCTCTAATGGTTTTCAAGATAATAGACAAAAATTGCACTTTACCCCTATGTTCTATTTTTAGCCATGTCGGCCATGTTTGTTGGCAGGCGGGGTCATCGGACACATTCTTTAAACTACATACTCCATTGATGATTGTGGCCAACTTTGGTTAAAATTGACCTAGTAATTTCAGAGGAGACGATCTTTGTAAAAGTTAACGGACAACGGACGACGAAGACGACAGACGACGGACGCCAAGTGATTGGGAAAAGCTCACTTGGCCCTTCGAGCCCTTCGGGCCAGGTGTGCTAAAAAGGGATTTAAATAGCAATTTGTCTCAATAGGGTTCATGGATGCATGGTTCATTGGCAAGAATTATGAATTTTCTTTCATTTCAGCAGTTTAATAGACTGACAGCTTATAATTATTCTTTTTTTTCATGAATAAAGTAATGTTTATTTAACAATGACCTTTGTAAGTTCCTGATAAATGTAAATCCATAAAAACGCTTCGGACGCATGAAATTTATAGCGTGTTGTTTTCTTTTTTTTTTTGTAGTGTCTCAAAACTTGTTGATTGTTTATTTGAAGTACCAATTCCCTAACTAGACAAAGTTTAGGAAATCGCTTTCGGTATTATCAGACAGTTACAAAATTCAATAGATTTGATTGACACATTAATTTTGGCTATTCTTTCAGACAATATTTTGTATTTGAATAAGAAGTATATCATTTTATCCATTAATATTGCGATGGAAGTATCTATATTTAATACATATGACAAACACGTATTATGGGTTTGTAAAGCTGACGTTTTTTTGTGGTTGCACTTTTGGGAATTTGGACTTAAGAAAGTTTGTTATTATTGAAATTAATCGTTGTTAGCTGTTAGACATATGTCTGCATAATTGTGTTTTTATTGAGTTACGTTATCAGCGATATAAAGGCGTGAATGCCTGGACGTCAAGGAATAATTGTTAGCATAAACTCATAAACTAAACCAGAGACACATATAGATGGACATTGACGTAAAATTACAAAGAATGGATCATAAGATTTTTTTTACCAATGTAAAAACGAGAAAAAGATGTCTATTGATAAAAGTACAAAACATAGTTAATAGAAGATCAAATAAAACAAGTGACATTCAAATGTATATATTGCTAATTGGCTAGATGAACATGTAACAATTTAGCGAAGGTGTTTGAGATGAGCCACATTAACTTCGTCGTTTGTAATCTGGTTTTCCGTTTTTCTTCTTTTTTTTTTTCTTTTTTTTTTAAAACAAATTCGACTCCACATAATACAGATTGACGTCCTTATGTATGACGTCACCAATTTCTATATCTGTTTTAATGAAAAGAGCTGTTAAATGAATGCGATTCGAAAAGATATACACACTGTCGATATTCTTACAATTGTAGCATTTTACAGAAAATAAGTCTAGTGTAAGCTTTTGATGAATATGAAATAGAAAAAGTAAATGTTATATGCTTTTATATAGAATTTCAAGTTTTTTTTTCGCAAGGTCCAAGCAGATCTAAAAATTGTGTACCTTAATTGTAAATAAATTACTGGTCAAGAAATGTGTTGATGCATAAGTGTTATGCTTAACTTTTCTCCTTTTAAATAACACATTACATGAATTTTTTACAAACGATTTTGTTTTAGTTACTTATAGTAAAGAATATTAGATTAAAATATGTTTACTTGAAATATATTTGATGTCGTTTGGGGTATAGGTTCGGAAACATCATGAATATAGACAATATTAGTTAAGAGCATGCATATCTAACACTATCGACGCTTGCGGTCATGCGGTCTTGTTCCTTTTGGAGTTCATGCGATTCCCTTAGTTTCTGTTCGAATTCGTTACCTTGATTTGTCTCTCCCTAATCGATATATAAGATTTGAAAATCGGTATACTACTGTCGCCTTAATTTACCGATGAGCAGGAGGAAGACAGCAACACAGCAACATGTGGTTTCAGACGTTCGTATTTGATTATTCAGGGATAAACCGAACTTATCCTAGGATTAATCAAAGTTAACTTATTTATGTATAATCTACCAGTGTATCAATGAGTTGTGATACTATTCTACAAAAGACAGTATTTAAAGATCAACTATCATAATTTTGCTGTCGAAAGTTGAGTAATCTGGCAATCATTCAGATAAGTCTTTGAAATCGCAAAATAACTATTCCCATTTCTTGTATTTCTGTTTATGTAAATAAGTGAAATCAGCTACTTAGGGTTTATTCAATAGACATACATTCCCCATTTCCATTCTCAATTTTATACAAGTTTTAACATACATAATTTCATGTTTTACGTATACTAACTTGAAAATCATACATCCTTCACAAAATACCTTGCAACAAAACAATATCCAGTTTTTAAAATTGAATATCCAAAAAAATTACTTCAATCTTAATACTTTTATTTATACAGTTTTACCAAATACTCAATCGGAGCCGTTATCGTTGCAAACAAAGAGTCAAAACCAGGATTTTGCTTTCAATCAAGTCATAGTTTCTTGCAGTATTTTAACAATTGTTTTGTATCAACGGTAAGTGTTCTCAAAGAAAACATCTCTTTTAGACTTTAAATGATAAAATTAGGCCAAGAAAGTGAAATATTGTCATAAAGAAACATTTGGTAAATAACCTGTCGAAATTTAACGTTACCTTAGACGCATAAAACTCATCGTATATACCAGGCTCATAATATAATACGCCAGACACGCGTTTCGTCTACTTAAGACTAATCAGATGATGCTCAAAACAATAAAATTGGAAAGCCAATTCATCTACGAAGGAATGGAGAAGTTAAAACCTAAACTTTTCAAAAAGAGTTCCAAATGTGGCCCGTTTTATTAATTTTATTTCAAATTCTGCAAATTTAATTTCCTTGTTTCAATTTTTTTTTTTTATAATCTAAATATAATAGAGCATTTGTATGAACAATTGATGAGTAGATTGAATATTCTAACGGAAAACTATATCGTAACATTGTGAATTGCAATTCTTGTTTAGGAGAAGACTATATAGCACTAGAAGTTTTGTGGCAATTAAACAAAGATTTCAATTTTCCAATAACGTTTTCCTAGATAGAATCTTACGATAATTGGTAATATCTCCCATTGAAAACAAAAATATAACTTGCATAAGAATAAGACCTCAACTCAGAAAAGTGAGAAAACGATTTCTAATCTAATTTCTGAAACCGATCTGCATCAAACTGTATACTTATAAACTTAAATAACCGTCATCAGGAACGTTCAAAACCAAATTTAAGAGAAAAAACACAAAAACAATAAAAAAATAAAACCCTAATGGCCTATAGGGAACTGCCGCATTGCATCCTTCATATCATTTGCGAACATAAAATTGTTCTCCTATTTGTGACATTTTTACCTATTGTGTCTGTTTGTTTTGTTCACACATCGTTGTAAATATATTGGAATTTGATGCGACTGTCATAAAAGTGAGAGGTTTAGCGCTTTAAAACCAGGTTTAATCCACCATTTTCTACATAAGAAAATGCCTGTACCAAGTCAGGAATATGACAGTTGTTGTCCATTCCTTTGATGTGTTTGTGCTTTTGATTTTGCCATTTGATTAGGGACTTTCCGTTTCGGATTTTCCTCGGAGTTCAGTATTTTTGTGATTTAACTTTTTAAAAACGAAATGGAGTAAAGTAGGAATACAAATATCATATCAATGTGTTTGTTCATTACCACACGGTATCAGTTGTTAAATTATTTTGTAAACATGGTAAGCAAACTTAAAGAAAAACTTAATCGTGTTCTGTTATATGTCAATTACTTAAAAGCACATTGTACGTTTTCATATTTTGAAAGTCTCAATTATGCATTTTGAATATTTCTTAAAACAGAAACATGTAAATTTCAGTACTTATTCGCATGTGCCATCAACAAAGTATTAAATGAATATCTTTTCACCTCTTGTTTGTTTTAATATTGACATGCTCTTAAAACGAAAGACATATAACCAAAGAGTAGGTTTATTTTGTTGATTCACATTGAGTTGCCTCCATTCCTCAATATCGCTGCTGGTGATTACTTTTTGCTGGTATTCCAGTTGTTCGAATGTCTACATTTTACGGTTTTGTTATCGCGAACTTTGATCTTAAGATACCAAAATAGTCATCTGATCTGTTTATTTCCCGACCGAGTCTTACTGCGTAGCGTAGTATTGTGGATAAGTCTTGCTTCGCAGGCGGTTGGTGCATACAAAGCAGAATATGCTTCTCCTGTCGACAAACCTGGTTGTACTCCTTTTTAAATATTTTTCGATTCCCTCAGATATTCTCACTTAATTTGATATTCAAAAGGATTTTTTTTTTTTAGATTTGAGAAACATCGATGTTCTTCTGTTGCCTTATGGTGTTCCAAACTTTCTTATTCGGCATATCATGATAATAAGATTAACAAAACTGCCGATGTTTAATATTACAACCGCAATATATTCTGTGCACAGACGCCCTATATTTGATGTTAGGGCTAACAATAAACTCAATATAACAGAGAAAATTAACGGCATGATGTAAGCTACTAACATTAAACGAAATATACTATATTATTTTAAAAGAATAGTTGTACGTTTTATTTCATATATTATGAAGATTTCTTTCTAACATGAGCAAAATTGTACGAAATGAGGTTTACATACTTTTGAACTGACATGATGTATAGCAAACCTTTCTGAAATTGTCTGTTTATAAATATAGAAATGATTAATAAACTAAGGTTGTATCTTCCTCAGGCAAAGTTGACCTCAGATGGATTTGGCTAGTATTTTAGGTCCTTTTTGGTCATATACCTCTTCAACTGTTTCGGTTCTTATACATCCTTTTTGCTTTCACCTATTTGCTTTGGGTGTTTATGATGAAGGTGAATCCAGAAAAGAGCTTCGGACACATGAAATTTATAAAGTGTTGTTTCATTTTTATATAAAGCAAAAGCAAAATAATTTCGCTACATGAAACACCTACCTTGATAGACGTGTTATATGGCCATTTTCGTTGTGTTCTTTTACCAATAACTCGATGGAATTAAAAAAATCTAAATACTGTACAGATGTAGTTGAGATGATTGTAAACGATGTCCAGTTGTATCGTAGTAATAAATTAACCATGGCGTTACTCTCGTGTGATATTGTTGGTGCCATCTGTAGGATATGAGTGTTCTTCGCTTCCTACAATAATCATGTTATTAAAACTACATTTCATTATATTAATGTAGTATTCTAAGATACTTTAAAGTGATAGAATGGTATCAAAACAGTATCTTATTTTCAGTTCACTTATAAAGTAGAAATATGTTTTAATAAAAATGAAAAGCAAGATCAGAGTCTCAAGTTTTAATTACTTCCCTCACGAGTGACCGTAAAATCATTGTACTACGACTTACTTACTTGCCTAAAGAATGAACAGGTCAGAGTTATCAGAATCGTGTGACTTAATTACTTACCTCAAGAGTAAAGGAATAATTAGAGTCCAATGACTTAATTACCTGAAGAGTGAACGACAGATCAACGTACTTAGAATCCCATGGATCACTTGCCAACCTCATGGTTCCACAAATTGATAAAAAAAATATGAATATTGCCTCATGACTTGTTTCCTACATGAAGAGTGTACGGGAGCTCAGTTTCCAAGGACTGAGTTACTCATCTTACGAATGAACGGCAGATCATAGTCTCACTGTTACTCAACAATCTGTAGGGTAAACGGTAGATTAGTCCCACGACTTAACTGAACGGCAGATTACACTCTCAGGAATTTAAATCGCTTAACAGAAGATTGAACGGCTTACCAATTTCTTTCCCTAGACTTTATTACTAACTTTAAGAATGAACTGCAGACCAAAGTCCCACAGTTAAGCATTTACCTGAAGAGTAAACCTTAAAAAGTGAACGGAAGATCAGAAGCTCCATGACACAATTTATCACATAAAGAGTGAACGGCAGTTCAATCCCATGACTTCATTTCAGAGACCACCTGATTAAAGTACCCAAACTTCGGTGACTTTTAAAATTACTTGAAGTGAACAATAGGTTTTCACGACCTTTAAATTTCAACCTTTAGAATGAACGCCAGATCATATTCTCATGAATTAATCAATAATATGAAGAGTTTACGGTAGATTGATCTAACGAATTATTCCTAACCTGAAGAATGAACTGGAGATAAGGTTCCCACGACTTAGTTACTACGTGATACAACTTTCAACCTAAAGAGTGAATTTCAAATCAGTCCCACGACGAAGAGTTAATAGAATATCAGATCAACGACTTACCTGAGAGTGGGTAGAAGATCAGATCAACGACTTAATTGAGAATGGATAGAAAAGAGGGACGAAAGATACCAGAGGGACAGTCAAACTCATAGATCGAAAACAAACTGACAACGCCATGGCCAAAAATAAAAAGACAAACAGACAAATAATAGTACAGACGACACAACATAGAAAACTAAAGACTAAGCAACACGAACCCTACCAAAAAATTGGGGGTGATCTCAGGTGCTCTGGAAGGGTAAGCAGATCCTGCTCCACATGTGGCACCCGTCGTGTTGCTTATGTTATTACAAATCCGGTAAATAGTTTAATTCGGTAGGTCACATTCGTGAAAAGGGAAGGGTATTGTAGTTACGACATAAGGAACATATCCGATATCATCTGTGAAACGGTTATTCCATAACGGTCAACCAACTCGTGATGGCGTCCGTAAAATTGACGAAGGGATGATTTCAACTTCACCATTTGGAACTCTTGGTTTAATAGCTTTCTTGTGAGCAGCAATCCTCTATCAAGGAAATCATGATAGGAAATACAAGCCCGGGAATATCGTATCAATTGGGAGATATATACTCCGTATGCAGGCGCTGCTGGAATGTTGCTACATAGAAATGGAAAGTTCACAATTGGGAAGCTGGAATCATCTCTTTTGTCGTAAAGTTTTGTTTTCAAGCGACCCTCATTGTCAATTTCTAGATGTAAGTCAAGATATGAGGCAGACTTAACTGTATCTGTAGTATCCTATATCTCTAGTTCGATGGGATAGATTCGTTCAACATAGTCACCAAATGTTGTATCATTTAGTGAGAGAACATCATCTATATAGCGGAACGTAAAGTTAAAGGATATTGCTAACTTATTATCTTTCTTCCTAAGAAGTTCCTGTATGAAGTCAGCCTCATAATAATAAAGAAACAAGTCGGCAAGAAGAGGGGCACAATTGGTTCCCATTGGAATTCCGACAGTCTGTTGAAAAACACGTCCTCCAAACGTAACAAATATGTTGTCAATCAAGAAATCAAGCATAGAAGATCAGATCAACGACTTACCTGAGAGTGGATAAAAGATAAGATCAACGACTTATCTGAGAGTGGATAGAAGGTCAGATCAACGACTTACCTGAGTGTGAATAAAAGATCAGATCAACGACTTACCTGAGAGTGGATAAAAAATCAAATCAACGACTTACCTCAGAGTGGATACAAGATCAGATCAACGACTTACCTGAGAGTGAACGACAGAACAATCCAAGGAAATAATTACTAACCTGTAAAGCTAATGATAGATCAGGGTCCCATGATATAAATGGATATCCAAGATCCTGTGTTAAACTCATGACGTAATCTCCAGCAGAAAAACCTTTATCTGGGTTTATATTCAAAAACATAACTGTATTGATCTTTTTGGGGAAAATGTCTTCACAAAATATTTTCAAAATTTCGTCTGGATTTTCATTATGTAGAAATTTGCCTACAACTTTGAAGTCATAGATTCCTCTTATGTTCTTGCCCAATAGAAAACTTTCTTTTGTAACTTTCTGTGGAAGTTTATTATATTGACGACTATATGGAACTATGACTAAAAATTCAACGTCTATCAAACTGTGCGACGTCACAGGAAATAATCCTAATATGAACAAAACGGTTGTTGTGAAGATGTTACATAAGTAAGGTATGTTCATGTTGTCAGCAGTCTGTTTATGTACGGATCACGTATTCTGACCTCGTATAAACGTGATCAACTTTATTATCATAGTGCATAGTCTGTAGGCAATCTGTCACCACGCTGTGATATACATCATGAAGCTTTTGTTACAACAACATCTAAAAGAAAAATAGATATTAAAATACATTATCAAAATTATTACAGATAATTGTCGATTTTTAATCAAGCAATCGTTACGGACACAGAAGGAAAAAAAAACACTTGTTATTTGAAAAATGATATCATTAGATAGAACTGTTCCAATAGTAGAGAGTTTCGAGTGTTTTCTTTAAGTAACTTTATCATTCCTTAGAAATAATTTAACCACAGGATGTTTCTCCATCTAAATTACCAATTACAGAAAGGGTTAGAGATAGCAAGAGGACAATCAAAAACCATTACGTGAAGAAAAAGAGGCGACTCCACGACCAAAAACATAAACAACCAAAACATGCCATCAGCGGACCACAGGAAGCTAATGATTGAACAAAACGAACCCTATCAAAAACATTTTTGACCTCGGGTGCTCTTGAAGAGTAGGCAATTTACTATTGCAGAAGTGGCATCCGTTTCATATTCTTTATGCTCAATGAAATAAACTTTATCTATATTATATAATCAAACAATCAACATATTAAATATAAGTTTTTACACCGATATTTGACAAAGAATTTATTTCATTGATTGAAAAAAAGGATACATCTGGTATTGGGAAATGTATTCATATCGCATAAATCGCAATACAGTAATCAAACTCTTATGCATATTTGTTACATATCTATATGGTAACATGCAACAATGTTCGACAATACTACATAGAAATGCTATGTGAAAGGACAGAAACAAAAAATAAACAGGAATTTAAACGGTCATGTGCCAAGTTGGACTTTTAGGAACTTCCCGCTAAGTAAAAGGACAAGTTGATGTGATGATGTATATAGAAACCAAACAAAGGTACAGGTACAGGTACAGCTAGTACAGGAAATGATTCACTATCATCTACACCGGCATCTCATAATCTGATTTGTATGCACGTTGTGTAATATATGATGATACTAAATATATATTGCAGTTGTTGCCAATTTCATCACTGTGACTTGATATTGTTTGCCTCATTGCACCATACTTGGAAACAGACGCTTTGCTTGTACGTTTCATTGAGTGACGTATTCAATTTCTTACAAAAATGATTTTAGGGAGAGGACATAACTAACATTGCTATCAATATCATATGCTCAACAAATTACGGGATAAAGTATCAAAAAGTAAAATAACAAAATTTTGGCATTTTGGACTTTCCATGTTCCCCTAAATTACGGTAGATTAAGTGGTGTTGGCTTTGTTGAAAGTATATAAGAACAAAAATTGTTTCAGTCTAGCAAAAAGTAAAATAACAAAAATACCGAACTCCAAGGAAAATTCAAACGGAAATTCCCTTATTAAATGGCAAAATCATAAGCTCAAACACATCAAACGAATGGAAAACAACTGTTATATTTATGACTTAGTACAGGCATTTCCTCATGTAGAAAATAGTTGCTAAACCCTGGTTTTATAGCTAGCTAAACCTCTCACTTGTATGACAGTCGCATAAAATTCCATTATATTGACAACAATGTGTGAACAAAACAAACAGATATAATAGGTAAAAATGTCAAAAATTGATGTACAGCATTCAACATTGTGTTATAATCTTGATCACTATAAAAACAAACAACTGTGTCAACAAAGAAAAACAAAATGGCATAAATAAAGGCAACAGTAGTATACCGCTGTTCGAAACACATAAATCGATAGAGATAAAAACAAATCCGGGTTACAAACTAAAACTGAGGGAAACGCATCAAATATAAGAGGAGAACAACGACACAACAAAAACACAACATAAAGACACTCTATAGACAAAGCACATAAGCAAAAATGAAAGACAAGAATACAAAACAAAAATGACTATAGCACAATAACATAATGGCGGGATGTATAAATACCGAGCCACGCCAAACGGATATTACCAAAAATAGACTAAACAGTAAAGGTAAACAATGTACAAAGACAAATCAAAAGTCCACTATAACACGTAATTAAGATGCTAAACAACGTCAGTACCTAGAATCTATACTTCAAAACCATCATGTATTATTTGTGAAGTTGATACGGAATATTTATCAACAAGGTCTTAACTGTAAAAACAGGAACGGAGAACGAAAGACGAGCTCCTTAAGTAAAGTGGTTCCTAAAAAAAACCGGCATTCGTGTATAAAAACAGTTTAATAGTGTGCAAGTCGATCCAAAACGTCAAAATCGCGCAATAAGCCAAAATAATAAAAATGACACAAGAATCTAGATCCTCATGGATGTTCTGTTAAAACATTTATTTAAAAGAATATTTCAATAACAGGTCTGTAAATAACCTTTTTTATGTTTTTCGGTCTTTTGTTTTGTTTTGTTTTTCTTTCTCTTTTAACAAACAGTAACATAAAAACTCGAATACTTTTTTCTAAATATTGGAACTAAATTGCAGTTGATTTTTCTTCCGGTGACCGTTTTTTTCTTAAATGTGCATTAACTGTCAAATTCATGTTCACCGATAAGACTCAAATTCTCATATTTGATTCACAATATACTAAAATGTTTATCAAAATTACACAAAGTCATAAATAAACAATTAAAATGCATAGTCTCCTTATCAGAAATTCCTGTGTATTTTAGACTAAGACACCATCTAATTAACAAACGGGATGACCCCTAAGGATGCCGATGGTCATTTGACCCGATATAAACATAAATGTAAATATAAATTGACAGACAAGCTCGTGCAATCGTATAGTGACGATTTTCTAGGTCTGTTTGGTTTCGTGTCATAGATTTAAAGGATAGGTAAATCATCGTTTTACCTGTATAAGATCTTTTTTTTTTTCTTTTTTTTTGGGGTGGGGGGCGAATCAGTTTAAGAAATGCTTCTTCCTAGTAGCTCCCTTGTTTCACTTTTCAATGTTGATATTCTTTTCGTTTTAATAACTGAATTCGAACTTGCTTTACACATTGACTCGCAAGCCAATAAAACATCAGCATTGTTTTCGGCTTATTATGACAAAATTGGACTCAAACTGTTTCATTATAGCGAAATGATATAATTTCAATATTCCGCTTTTAGAAATTTTTGAAACAAAAAAATATCTTATCTTGATTTTTTTTTTTACATCACAGTTTATGTCCCAATAAAATACCCAGACATGCATTTAATCTAGAAAAAATTATGAGACATGAGGTTTAGGTTACAGTGTGCTCCAAAGTATAGTATCTCCTTTAAATTATAACAATGCGAAAATATTTTTTCGAACTTTTCTTGTGAATTTATACTTTGTTTTCATTTTGCGTGCGTTTAAAAAAGAAAACTGGCAATGGCCTTAAAACATAGCAAATTCAATTAATTTCCTTGGTATCATAAGAGGCTATGCTATAACCGACTACTTTTCCATGTCCGAATACGTGCGTTTTCCAACACTATAAACGCAGGTTTAACAGGTTTTAAAGCCAGAATTAATGTAATAAGCGTTTCATTAAGTTTGAAAGCATGCTGGGAAATCAGTTAATTGTTTCAACCCTGCCTCAGCCTCTGCTACGAAAATGTAATTACTTAGGCACACTTAGTCAATTTATTCTTTACATTATTACATAATTAATATGACTTGCTCCTGGACTTATTTCTCTGCCTTGTATAAAATATTTAAGTTACAAAGTTAATTGTAAATCCAGAAATGATCATAGTGTTATATAAATATTTTGCCTATCAGAGATTAAGCATCGATTTTTACTATAATACAAGTAATTATAGTCTGAGTGAAGAGTTCTTCTAAAACCCTCATCTTACGCCTCGTTTATACATTTTGTTATATTGATATTTTATAGTAAAAGATGTAATTCAATTTATTGGAAAGAAAAACTTCAAACTAACTCATCAAATACCATGACATAATGTTTAACTCAATTTTTGTTGATTCCCATTTTGACGTCACTTTTATACCGTTATTTCTCCTTTATATGATTAAACCCGTCTGTATTTGATCAATCAGTACCAATTGGTAAAGTTGAAACCGTAGCATAGATGTAAAAGATTAATTTGCTGACATTGTGCCGCTCAATTTGCTCTTCTGTACTACAAAATTGAAAACAAGATTTGTTTAACAAAAACCAATTTAAACAACCATGTCCTGTTATAAATCGCTAAAAATAACACTCTTAAAGATATTTGCGTTTTTCTATTAGGCATAGTTATTAAACAATCATTATGATTATAGGCAGGAAAAATTACTGAACTATATTTTATTACTATATGGATAAAACAGTTACAGTCTCAGTCTAGAAGATATTTAATTATAAGTTCTCATTCGATAATAAGTTAGGTTCGTTTTAAAAAACGATATCATCGTTAATCTTTAACATAGAGATGATGATACACTTTAAATACAATCACAATTTATATAACAAAGGCAATTGCTCTTGAAAGATTATTTTCAGATCAGTAATTAGTGATTTTAATCTGAATTTTATGGTCCAAGTGAACACAAAATTCAATGATGTAGAATTGGTCTAGCAAACATTCCTTATCCGGAAACAAAAATGTGACAAACGAACAAAATCAAAATGAAGAGGTAGATGAACGTATAAGTACACCTAACTCGTGTTAGATTTATAAAATGAAATGATGTATTTGTTAAAGATCAATTATATCTATGGTACTACAAAACATCTTTTCTTTCTTAAAACAATATGAAAAAATTAATTCGTCCTAGTTTAGTCTATTTACTAGAGTGATCATCAATCATATGGGAGAATGGTGCAATCAAACTTGTCTGAGTTGTCGTTTCAAACCAAAATGTTTAAGTACCTACTAAATTGATTGAGTGTTTCAAGAGTTCTTCTATGGAATCTATTAACCTTCAAAGCCTTGAAAATGAAGATTGATACTTATTTTAATTGATATATCATATAACCTTGAATGGTCACAAACCCTGAAAGTATGATATTATCTTACAATCGTCTTGAAATAAGTAAGGTTTCTAATCTGTTGTTGAATTGGAGATTGCAACTTCATGATAATTTCATAGCCCGATTTAGG